AGGTGTTAAAAGAATGTTTTCTTATCCAAACTATCCTGCAAAGAAAAAGAAAAAGAAAAAAAGATAAAAAGAAAGAAAAGAAAAAGGAAAGGAAGGAAAATGAAAAGTACCCATTTTAGAAACACCAGGCATGAGACAGAGAAGAAACAGAGTAGAAAGAATAATACAATGCAGACAAGCCACACTATTATTGCTGGGGGAAGAGAAGGAGCGAGAGGAAGAGGAGGAGGCCTGTCTGTGAAAGGTATTGAGGAAATGCTACTGGAGCCCTCTTCTCATTCACAAAAAGAAAAGCTCAAGGAACTTGAAAACTTGATTCAGCAAGTGGCACAGATACACTTTCAAAGGTATTGATTTCCTCTTTTATTTCTCTGAAAAAAACTAAGTGGAAGCTATTGCAGAAAGATCACTCTTTCTTATACGAAACATACTCCATTTGCAACAATGTGGGTGGACCTTGAACCCTTCATTGTTTGTTTTATGAAGACCCTAATAACAATTTTGGATTTGGAAGGGACCTTAGAGATAATGGAATTTAACATACTTCTTTCAAAAGATAAAAACAAAACAAACAAAAAAACTTAAACCCTGAGGAATGAGTCACTTGGTTGCCATCATTTAGCAAAAGAACTTTAACCAAATCTCCCAATAATCAGACCAGAGCCTTTTCTACCACACTTTGTAACCTTGAAATTAGGAGAGTTTGGATGAGAATAGCACTTTTGCCTAAGGAGAACGAGGAGAGGGGAAATGCCGTATGAAAAGTCCATAAAAAGTTAAACAGCTGTTTGTCATTCTTAATACATGATGACAGACTCAACTAATCGAGTCTTCTCTTCCTTACATGTCCTATATAGGAGCTAACAAATTTTGTGTGCTCAATACATATTAAGATTTCAACTGCTTCAAAGAATAACAAGACCTTAAACGTGTTTCCTAAGCCCTCAGCACCAATGAATTTGTAGTTTTATAAATATCATGGTGAACAAGAAATGCTGTCTTGTCATATTCAAGCCAAATAACAGCTGGACTTTAAAAATAAAATTTTGAAGGCATTTGCCTTTTATATTTTTAATTTCTGTTTTCCTGGCTTATGGTTTTGTCATTTGATTTTGATGAGTGGTTAATACACATGCACAGCTGCCTGTTTTGGTGACCTTTCCCGTGCTGCTTCCATGCTCAGAGCTATGAAGCAGATCTACAAGCTGCTTACTAAGTGATATTGGCATTTCCATGACTGGCACACAATTTCCAGGGAAGCCTGACTGGACCAGGGCCTGGTCTCCTGGGCTGACATACTTTAGTTACCTTAGAAGCCCCACAGGAGGATGGGATAGAAGTTGGGTGAGGGCGAAGCCCCTTAAAATTGCTAGTGTGCATTATTCACAATCACCAAGACATGGAAACAACTTAAGTGTACATTGGCAGATGAATGGATAAAGAAAATGTGATATATATATATATACAATGGAATGTTTTTCATACATAAAAAAGGAAATCTTACCATTTGCAACAATGTGGGTAGACCTTGAAGGCATTATGCTGAGTGAAATAAGTCAGACAGAGAAAGATAGATACTGTATGATCTCACTTATATGTGGAATCTAAAAAAGTCTGAACTCAAAGAAACAGTGGAATGGTGGTAGCCAGGGACTAGGAGGTGGGAAAAGTGGAGAGATGTTGGTGAAAGGGTACGAACTTTCAGTTATAAAATGATAATCCCTGGAGATCTAATGTATAGCATGGTGACTGTAGTTAATAAAACTGTATTGTATATATGAAAGTTTCCAAGAGAGAAGATCTTATATTTTCTCACCAAAAAATGTAATTATGCGAGGTGATACATGTGTTGATCAACCTGTGGTAATTGTTTTCTAATATACCTGTACCAAATCATCACATAGTACACCTTAAATTTACAGTGTTATATATCAATCATATGTTAATAAAGCTAGAAAAAAATGTAATTTTTACTGTTCCAAAGCCAGAGGAAACATAGAGATGATTATGTATGGACTGAGAAAGAATAACATCCTGAGCTAGAGCCACAGACTCACCTGTCATTTAGCTTACCTAACTAGTTTCACTCTGAATCTCTCTGGGGCACAAAGAAGTCTTGATCTTTTTAACACTTTTATCAGTGATAATTATCTCCATCTGTCTGTATATATTTATGCACTTTCCTTGTCATCTTCTGCCTTCTTTCACTAAATTTTACATCCCAGGAGGTCAAGAACATATCTGTTTTGCTTCCTTTGGTTTATCCAGTGTCTACTTCAGAGACTGGCACACAATATGCACTCAAAAATGTTTGTTTGTTTGTCTGTCTGTTTGTTTGTTTTTTAAGACTATGAAATGACAGAAGGAGTTTATAAATTTTTTAGTTATTCCTTCATTTCAGTCCCTTCTTATGCTTCCCGTTAAGGGAAAGGAGCAAAGTGGAGCAAGTATTATGTATACCTGTTATCTACTCTGACTTTAATATGAACTGTAAACTCCAGCAGGCTTTGCAATCAGCTCACACTTGAACAGATGCCAGGAAATATCCCGAAGTCAGCAGAAGGCTGCTACCCATCCCAGCAGTCTCCACAAAGGCGTTGCACTTCTGTCGGTATTAGAGCATGTAACTTGACTCCATTCATGAACTCACAGTTGCCCAAAGCACACGAGGTCTCAATGGCAACTCTGGGCAAGCTTCTGAAGGGAGGTTTTCACACGCCTCTTAAGCTCCTGGCCCACTCCAGCCCTTCTACTGTTACACTCATCAGGCATTGCTGCTATGTGTGACAGAGTAACACGAGAGCTGGTGTACGGCGTGACTTGCTATATTTAGAGGAGAGGAAATGGGCCATTCTGAGGAAGGTCACAAGAAATTTGTTCATAAAACTAAACGCATCACATATTCATCTGTATATACAGGGCATGCAGTATAGCACAGTATTTAAGAGCTTGGGTTCTGGAGCCAGGCTGCTCAGGATCAACTCTCAGCTCTGCCCTTACTAGCTAAATGACCTGTGGCAAGTGACTTAATTACTCTCAGACTTAATTTTCTCATCTATAAAACGGAAAAAACAAATAACAGTACCTTCTCTGCAGAGCTGTATAAGATTTAAATAAGAAAATGTGTGTAAAAAGCTTATTAGCAAGTTCTTGGGCATGTAAGTGCTTGATAAATGTTTGCCTCCCCACTTACACAAAAAAGTAACCAGGAAGTTGGTTTGCATACAATCTGGTATTGAATGGAATTTCCAAAAATATTCCTATATGACACGTTTCTCTATAGTTCAGTTTTCATTTTTTTCCTTTCATAATAGTTAATAACTCTGACCATGATTTTTAACTTACCAAGAACATAATATCAACTAGGTTATTAGCACTACTGAGAGGTAAGTTACTATATTTATACCCATAATACAGTTGAAAAACCAAATGAAGAAGGATAAATGACAGATTAAGAAAATTGCTACAATAAGGGTAAGGTGAAAGAACTCTATAACTCCTAGTCTGTTGAAAAATGAACAGACTAAATACCCCAAAGTGATAAAAAAAAAAATATTATGTCATCGTGTATGGTCAAAGATTTAGGTACTCTACGCTACAGCCTTTCCATCAAAGTGAGATGGGCCAGACCTGACTATCGGCTCCCTAGGCCAAGGAACGATACTCTACACCAGAGAAGAGCCTGCATTTCTTCGTGCCCGTAAAAGTGTGAATGTCACTGTGCTCTTGGTCACATATTTTTCACAGAAGACTGAGTGTATTTCTGGTTTTGAGTCCTCTTTATCCCTCCCTTCTTCCTTCTCTTCCTCTTTTACTTTCCTTCTTCCCTAACCCCACCCCTGCCACCCCCACTGCCCCACCATACACACATACACGCATACCAATCAGAGTTTATTTTGACACCTTGTCCCCAGGACTATCAGTGAACATTAGTCTTTCCTACTGCTATGAAAAACTGGCCTTCTGGAAACTCTGAAGTGCTTCCTAACGTCTGGTACTACCCATCTCTTAGCACTCATGCCAGAGATTTCCGAACTGCTTGGGATGGCCCCGAGCTACCACTGGAAGCCATGCCCAGTTCAGATGCTGCTATGAAATGTCTTCAATGCTTTTTCAAGGGATTAGGGTACTGGAAGAAATCCTACCAGTAAAAGGGATAATAGTTAGATTCTTCCCCTCAAGCTAAAGAAAGACTTCAGCTGGGACCCAAGATAGGTGAAGTATTATGTTACTCTCAAGAGAACGAATTAATCTTTCCTGAGTGGTGGGAAGGATTCTGCTTAAGGAAATGCTAAGAGGAAAACCAGCTCCTACTCTGTGATGACACAGTAAATAACCAGGCAACATTACTGCTGACGTGCTGACCTAACTCATAAATTGTACCCAGCCTCTGGGGAGCAATTTCTGCTGATTTGCTGCTTGTGCATTTAAACAAACAAACAAAAAGGGAAGAGGAGCGGACAGGCATTGATAGTGCTGTGAAGCTGGTCTTTCCATCCAGACTTTCAAAAGACTTTGGTAATGGTTAGCACCCAGACATAGGCTGGGCCTTGCCCAAGATATTATTAATTTTATGCTAGATCTGCTCAAACCATCATTTAGTTCTCAAAATGGTTTGATTATACCTGGGAATCACTTGGCGTTTTAAAAAATTGTGTGTGTGTGTGTGTGTGCGCGCGCACGCGTGTGTTTAACAAGAATGCAATAAAGTGATTGAAACAGAATTCTGTTGTTCACTGGAATGCAGAGGGTCCTTTTATTTTAAAACTTTAAAATGACACCTTGAAGTACTTGGAGTGCTATGTGTTCAGTAATATAGGACCTAGCTGCATCTCAAAGTTCTCAACTATAATATATAATGAAGACTAACATTTCCTCTGCTTTGCCAAGAAAATCAAGCTGGTACTCCAAAGAAAGACCACAAAGAGCCTACATCTAATGCAGACACATCTTCAGAAACACTTAGAGCAGCAGAAAAGAGCTACAGAAAAGCCACTCACCCTCTGCGTCTTCTGGCCGAGTAAGATCGATGACACCTGGGCCCAGCTTTCCATCTTCACTTGACTTTCCTGTTAACTGGGGCCCCAAGTTCTCAAAGCGTGTTCTCTCCTAGAGGAAAGAATAATCAGAGGCTTATTCTAGCTATCGAAGCAGCCACTTTGTCCTTCAAATTTTTATCTTGCTTAATGGGCAAAATTTGGATTTACAAACATCATTTCTGTTCAACATGAACTCAGAAAATTTCCCGGGAAGATTCCACTGCAGTCTGGTTGTGGCCCTGACAGTGCCGACAGTGCTGGACCTGTAAGGAAAGGAAGCCTGTGGCAGGAAACTGGCCAGCGCATAGTACTGCACACCTTTCCTCTGTGGGATTTGCTCCAGCAATCTAAAAGGAATGCAACTGAGAGGTCTGAGCCAAAAGTGCAAAACTTGAAAGAGCTGTTCCCATTAAAATATATGTGCTGCTATTTAACGGGAGAAGCGTTTTCACATTTAGGGATCACAGTTTGTATTTCTGGGAAAATACAAATCAGGGTTTTATGCAAGAGGATTTCAAAACCAAACATTTCAAAGCAGACGGACTAGACGATGGCACTGTCACGATGATTTTGCCTAGGAGTTTATACGGTAACTTTCTGGGAGGCGAAAAGGAGGACCTTACTCCTAGCCAGCCACTGAATCAAGAAAGTTAAATACTCTTGCCCGCCACTGTATGAGAAAAGCCCAAAGATGTTTTACTTGTTAACCAGTCCTTCTAGAAGCAGGAGTCTGAAAAATCACAACGAACTCTCCCTCTGCAGCTCTCTGGTTCAGTAGCAGAGGATCACTGGCCATCATTAATATGGTGTTCTTGTCTGTGGAAACACAGCGCGTGTCCCCTTCTCGCCTCCTCGCTACTCTCCAGACTCGAACTTGGCTTTGTGTTGTGCTTATGAATGAATGAAACCTTGTTGTTCATTACTATGAAACAATATTAAATGTCATGTCAGCTTGAATTTACAGACATGAAATAGCAGCTCCCAGCTCCGGGAATGGTTTCTGCATGTTATACTTAATGCATTATGCAGCAGTAGAGTGCTGATTGCTGTTCAGTCTATTGTTCAATGACCTAGTTCTGTACTGAGCATGTTCGGCATTAGATGGAAACACTCTGAGTGTTCTCTTCTGTAAGATGTTTAGAAACTTAGAAATATTCTTAAAGAGCAAACATACAATTACTTGATAGAGGCTGTGTCTCATTTGTACAGTCTCACTACATTTGTGCTTTCTAATATGATTATTTTTGAATATCATTATATTTCTATAATTAATTCCCATCAGTCAAATTGTGCAGGAAGTCTTCTAGTTCCCCTTCATCGTGGAATATGTTGAAATCTGTGTTGGAAAAAAACACAGCTTAAACCTTGCTTTAATCTAGCACCATTTCTATGAAAGATTTGCAACGAAATTACAGTCATGAATTTCCCCAACCGGGTAACACTAACTAGTTACAATGCAGTATGTGGGAAACCTCTGAAATACAACACTTATAAAAAACAGAAAATAAAACGCAAATTAGGTATGGTTCCCCAATATCTTCTTATGTGAAAACACTGCTGCACAAGAACAAATTAATCCAGATGCAGGCCACAACAAAAAGCAACCCCCAGCCATGTGAGAGTTTCACACATAGTTGGAGGGAGGACAAATGCTTTTATTCAGCCAATTTCTATTTTTGAGTAGCACCTTTGGCTGTCATGATGTAAAGAAAAAGAATGAAAGTGAAGATGAGTAGCAACAGGGAAAGCAAAATATTCAACCTTTGTTTTATCACATTGTTTCGCATTTCAAATATTTGCATGTGAATGCTTTCCCTATGTTAAATGCAAAAGGAGTTTTGATGTGACACCTGCAATCTTCTTGGAAGAAGAACCTTTAACTGTATTTTCATGGGGGGAAAAACAACTTTCTCTGAAAATCAACAGACCGCGCTACCTATCAATATGCATATTTCAAGTATCTTTCTAGTCATTCATTCTCTTTGATTTTACTGGAAAATATTCTCAGTAAAAAAAATAATAATAAAGTTCCTGAAAGAATATCAATATTTTGACAAGGAAGGAGAAGAGGGAAAATTACATGCCATGGTTTGTAAAATCCTAAGACAACAAAGCTTACATGATGATAATATCTTTTCTTTTATAAAAAATGAAGTGCACTCACAATTCAGTAGTATCGGCTTGTTTTTAATCATAACAAAAAACATTCAGAACATTCAACAACACATTCACAGTGTCTTTGAAGTCGTACAATTTTCTAACTTCATTGAAACAAATTCTTCTGCAGAGATACTTTCCTTATAAAATGTCAATATTTTGACAGAGTAGAAATCAAGGAAGAATATCCCATGAAACACTTGTTAAAGAGGCAGAAAATAAATCAATAACAAAAATTGTTTTGGGCAGCGGACTGCATTTTATATTCAGTAATATTAAGCACTTCTGTTTGAAATTAAAGAAGGGCCCTGCAAAGCCATGCCCTTTCATATAAATTTTTACCTACTCTCCCAGAAGATTTCTTTCTTTTCTTCAAAGAATAGCTCAGAATATTTATTTGCCAGCCACATAATCATAAGATAAGAGAGCCTGCTATCTACAAGTTAGCTCCGGACAGCTGAGCAAAGCAAAGATTTTACTAGTGAGGTTGAACATGAGCCTAGTAAATACAGGATGTGGACATGGGCACAGAGAGAAATTCAAAGATACTTTAGTTACAAGAGACTTCAACTTCTAGCCATTAAGTGCCAATGCGTATGCCCCTATATGAGACAAATATAGACTGTGGGTGGCAAGTTCCTAACTCCAAATTCTTCCACGCACTTGCGCTAGCTTTCACACTGCGCGAAGCTCCCAAATAAGATATTTTGGCGATGTAAGCAAACTACCTCAACGTTAATTTAATCTCGGCCTCCCAGAAAATTTCCCCAATCTTTGTGTTGATAGTGAAATGTGCATTTTAGATGCAGTGATGTGATCAGACCCTTACTTATACGTTGTCAGTCACAAACATGCAGGCAACACAAAAGTTATTGAAAAAAAATTAAAGTCAGCTCTGCTGTGTTGTACGACTGTTGACTCTCTAAGTGCATTGAAATTATGATGTATGAGGTAGACGTTGCATATTAAATAAAGATATTTAAATGATAAAGCCCCCTTTACTGAGAGCTGATGAATGTTAAATGTTACAAAGCCACAAGGCGGTGGCATCCAGCATCTTCACATATTATCGGAGTCAATGACGGGGCAGCCTCACTGATGACAGATAGACTGCTGCATTATTATCCCTTATTTCCAGAGTCACTGAACAAACCATTCAACTCCTTAGGCATTATTTTTAACTTTGCATTAAATTAGCAACTTTTCCTTTCCTACCATGGCAAGATTAATCAATTTTGTCTTTGCACTGGTGGAGAGAGAATGGATTTGGGGTAAGTAAAAGAACAGAGGTTTGTTTCTATCCAGGGAGAAAAAAATCGACTTCCTCTTACTGGCAACAAATGTAAAATTGTGATATGGGGAAACAGCAATGAAACAGTAAGCACGCAATAATGGCTTTTCTTTGCACTTAGATAAAAGCTGAATTTTTGATGTGCACAGTATATTTTAATAAAATTTTATATACTATGTTTTATACACTTATTGGCTATTCCATAATAATGTGTGTGCTAACAGTAAAATTGCTCTTAAATTTATGTGTGTTATTTATACGTTCCCACGTAACAATGCTTTTTGTTGTAAAAAATATTCTGTTTATTAATGTAACTTTACAACCACTGCATCCGAGATCCGTGGTAAATTAATGACATTTTTATTATTTTATAGTGTCATTAAATTTTTACTGATCACTCCATCAAACAGAGGCAGTAAAGGCCATAATGTAAACTGGGACACTTAGATCAGGCAGCAGGAAGACATTCCATATAGTCTGAAGAAAACTGCTAGCAATAAATGATATTTATACCATCTTTAAGCATGTTAGAATACTTGGATAAGTTTGGCAAAACTGTTTCAGTAGTAGAGTGGATTGTGTACTTAAATAACAGTTTGCTTGCCAGCGAGACAAGCCTTTTTCAAACCATATGTGAGATGACTGATTGTAGCCATCTCCTGAAAAACAACACAAGAGATGTAATGATGTGCTGGGCACCCTACCGTCTGGATTACCGAGACTGGCCAGCCTACACCATACCTCAAATTATTTCATCGTGGTCCCCTTTTCTACAAACTGAAGAAAATGTAAAATTGTAAAATGTAGATGTTTTTTGTTTGTTGCCTTACAAACAAATGTATTTCACCTGACAGGTAGACATGGCTGGACAATGATGTGATACATTTTATTACAATGCTTTAAATGAGAGGCACTTTACTAACCTTTATTCAAAGCTTATTTCTAAAAAATGTATGAATATGAGGTCATTCATAACAGACACAGAACATACACCTATAGGGCCATTACCTATATTGCAGAGAAAATGGGTAAAAAATAATTATCTCATGTTACTTTCACATGAAAAATATATTATAATGAGTGTACTCTACACTGGCTCTCAAATGTTGTTTATAGAATGTGTATATACATGTTATACAAATAATATATATTTTATACAAATATAATATTTTATACAAATATATACATGTTACATATTATTTCTGTATAGTATATAGAGGATAGTAAATAGAAAATGTTATGCTCATATAATCATGTAATTTAGAACCACCTATCACTTACATGGGAGTTTTGGCATGAATTTCTTTAAGTACATAAGAATTTTGTTGTTATATCTTAAAATACATATCTAAAATTAAAAACTTTTTAAAATCTTTCAAATTTGTAATAATAAGAAAATTTACAGGATAAGTTAATACTGCAGCACCACTAGTCATGTTTTTGTGTATTTCTGAAGCAAGGATTTCTGAGAGAAATAACAAACACATGCATTATGAATAAAAATTCTCTAAGGCCACCCACAATATTCTGAGATATTATCTACTCTCAGTTTCATCTTTCTCTAAGTTGTTAAGTACTACCCAAAAGAAGTCCTGCCATTTCATCTCAGCTACAAGCTTTAG